GAGGCACCGTGAAAGTCCAGGACATAGGACCAGCTTTTGTCAACCTCTGAGTCCTGAACGCAGTATTGGAGAGACTCAGCTGTGTTTCAAACACGCTGGAAGCCACCAGCGTCAGTCGCATGGAAAAGCTGCTCGCTCCCGAAGCCTGCTCCCTGACCAGCCTCCAGTCCATGGTTGCCACCTGTCCATGCAGCGCTGACCACCACAGACCTCGCAGGTGCCCACCTCTCTGTGCCCATGTGGCCGAGAACGTGAGCTGTCTCTGGTCAGTTTCTGTTTGAGCCCTGAAATCTGACCAGATCCCTGTCCGGCAGTCAGCTGTCTCAGCTGCATTCAGACGGCACAGCCTGGCTGGAAGGACCAGAAGGCAGTCCCCGTGTGGCTGCCGGCTCCCCCCGACCTGTGCATCACACCCTCATGTTGGCCACCCTCCAGTGGCCAACCCCGACCCTAAGGCTAGACCAGAACACCCTGAGGTCAGTGCAGCCAGTCACGACAGGCCATGTGCCGCGGCTACTGCCCTGTGTAGCCAGTGCGTGGAAGGCTGCTCACATCTGGGACAGCCTCTGCTTTTGAGGGCCCAGGAAGGCAAGTGAGAGGCTGGGCAGTTTACGGACTGCAGCCAGGCAGGGGCTGAGTGGCTGCTGGACACACGGACAGCGGGAAACACGTCCATGAGTGTGAGTTTTCAGGGCCCAGCGTGCTCGGAGGAAGGGCTGTGGCTGTGCTCCGGCCTGACCAGGAAGCCCAGCTTCGTGCTGCGGCTGAAGTAAGACGCTCACACTGCCACAAGCCGCTGGCGGGAGGCCCAGAGTCGGAGCCAGGCGTCCCGTCTCTGTTGGGTGGGTTTGGAGATAGAAAGGTCTCAGTGTCCAGCAGAACCTCTGTGAGAGCAGCCTCTTGCCACAGTATTGACAGGGCCATGAAGCGACAGGGCCATGAAGCGTGGCCAGTGCCGAGCCCTGCACTGCTCGGTGTTAACTGTTCACGTTGGAGCGGCCGCGAGGCTGGCAGCGGCCACTCTGGGGTGCGGTTCTGGTTTTCTTTGGTCTCCACCAGTTTACAGTCGTAGCCGGCTTTCTTTTCGCTCTAGTGTTAGGTAAAACTTCTGCTGCACCGTTCAGTCATAAGGAGCACAGGAAGCCTCCAGCCCTGCTCCTGGTATCAGGTGCACACTTGTATTTAAACCTTTCAAATAACATTTGCTAATTTTGACAGATTCTGCTATGCGAAGGGGTCTGATCACTTTCTTTTATTTAGTTTTTTTATTTATTTAAATTTATTTATTTACATTCATTCACTATACATCATTACAACATACAAAATGAGATTTTCCATCCAGAATACATTGTATATTGGCTCAATCAAGCACATCAACATACGTGTTATTGTCAGCAAATAATTTTCCATTTCTTGTTTCCTGTATGTTTTGTTTTTTCTTCCCATCCCTGATTCCCTATCTCTAACCCTCTGCCGCATCCTGCCCTCCTCCCACACTGTCTCTGGTATCCACGGTTACTTTATATGCCTTTTTAGAACCTGGGGATGTCTGCTCAGTTTCCCCAAGTAGCCTTTCTGGGTTTATCGGTGAGAACATTTCCTCTATCCAAAGCGACTTTGAGTTTATCATCACCCTCAAAAGCCCACATCGCCACCGGAGCTTGGCGGGCCAGTCTCCGCTCGCCCGAGCACAGTCCTGGTTACGTCTCGGTACCTCCGTGAAAGCCCTAGACCATCCCCACCTTCCAAACAACCGCGTGCGGAAGGCCGCACCTTCTCACTGTCGGCTGTCACAGGCATGGCCTGACCGGGCCCCACCTTTGCCAAGCGCCTCCATCCTCAGCACCTCGAGCCACAGCCCACGCTCTCCGACCACAGCCGCACAGCCTTGTCCGTCCTCCGCCCGAGAGCATGGCCTTCATGGTGTTGGGCGCTTTCTAGAGCACGAACGAAGCGTGAAAAGTGGGCCTCCAGACGACATTGCACACCTGAAGCAGCTGCTTCTAGCCCTTCCCGGCGATCCCTCTGATACGGACTTCTCCACTGCCTGCTCGTGCTGATGCTCTTTTACTTTCCAGCTTGTACCGTCCATTAAGCTCCTGCCGGGAACAAAGAGCTGCCCACTCTCCCCAGGTCAGCCACCCCTCGCACGATGCGGTGTCGACCGCGCCATCTCTTTCTCGCACGCTTACGCTTTCCCTGGAGTAACTTTCTCGTCTCCTGTCGCTTTCCGTTCTACCCATCTGTCAGTGATCAAGCATCAGTCCTGGGCCAGAACAGTGCTCCCAAGGCCGTCAGAGTGGCAGGGCGATTCCAGATTTGGCTTTTTTCTAGGGCAGCTCCCACTGCGGTCAAGCCCCTTGGCCCTGACCTCCCCCAGGTCCTGCCCACTCGCTTGCCCTGAGCCTGGCCTTGGGTTCTAAGAGCCTTGCAGGGAAGGAGGGCCGTGGTCTCAGTGCTCATAATTCATATTCCGATGTAATTCACTTGAAGGTGACCTGCCCCATGCCAGGCAGTTCGGGTCCAGGGCAACTCAGTGGACAAGCGTCGTCTGCCTCGTGCCACCTGCTGTCCTGCAGGCTCTGCTGCAGCACCTGTGCTGGCCAGTACTGCATCTGCAGACCACATGGACATCTTCTGGTGCGGCCCTTGCCGATTCTGGGCTTCATTTTCATGCCGTCTGAGAAGCAGAGGAGAGAAACCCAGGTTCCTAATTGCCTGCCACTGTCCTGAGACTCAGAGCAAAGGCCCTGACTGCCTGTGCACACACACTCATGCACACACACATGCATGTGCACATAGGCACATGCATATGCACTACACTCATGCACACACATGTGTGTGCACATATACATGTGCATACACGCACACATGGGCATGTGTGCACACACCCATGTACACATGAACACAGTGATGCACATGTATACTCACACACATGCATATGCACATGTGCACACATGCACATGCATACACTCGTGACACACTCATACATACTCACCACACTCACACATGTACATGTTTGCATACTCGTGTACACATGAACACACTTGTGCACGTGTATACTCGTGCACACATGCACATACTCATGCACTCACACACAAGCACACTCATGCATGTGCACACACTCGTGCACACTCACCACACTCACACATGCACATATGTGCATACTCGTGTACACATGAACACACTCGTGCACGTGTATACTCGTGCACACATGCACATGCTCATGCACTCACACACAAGCACGCTCGTGCACACGACACACACACACAGCCCTTGTCCGAATGCTGCAGCTGCTCTTCCCTCACGTCCAGTTGCCCTCAGCCAGGGCATCGTGGAACCCCTTTTCTCTGTGCACTCATGTGCCCAGCCTCGAGCGTGTTCCTTGCACGTCGAGTTAAACGAGTGAGAACTTACCTGCCCTCCCAAGAAAGGGGGTCGAGCTGCCCGGCCCACACCCGACCACCCGTGAGACCACTGCCCTGTCAGGTGGAGCCGACTGAAGGAGCCAGCACACGCTGCGTAGCGCTCAGTACCTGCTCCTCGGCACTCTGTCTGCTCCAGGAGCACGGCCCTCTGCGGTAAGCAGGGACATTTGTCACTGCAGATGGCTGCTGCCTGGCAAGCCCAGGCACGAGCCTTGTGTCTGTGGTCATGGGTTCATATCTGATGGCTTGTTCTGAACATTTTTAAAGAAAACCAGCATTATCTTTAAATATGTAAGAGCATTCATATAGCATGAATTTATACACTTACTTGAGCATTGATTGGTATGTAATTCTGCTCTTAGAATCAACATATTTTCATTTTTTATTTTGAAAACATTTAGGAAGTCCTTTCACCTGAAAAGCTTGGTTTATGGGGAGCTTTTCAGAGGCCTGTTTTCTTGAAAGTAAATCACTCCTATTCAAACCGGAAGTGTGTCTCCCTGGGTGTGTGTGGTTTTGTGCAGGCCTAAATGGCATGTCAGAGAGAAAAATCGTCGTGGTTGGTTGGTTAGTTTTCACCACTGCCCACCCTCACCCCCATAATGAAGTTTAAAGAAAAGATAATATCGGGAACCAGCAGTTAGCGTAATGGCGCTGGACTCCCACGTATTTGACCGCAGTTCGTGTCCCAGACCCGGTGGCTTAAAACTCACACCGGGCGCGTGTGCGTGCGTGCCCAAGATCCCGAGAGGAGAATGGAGGAGAAGGGATTGCGGCGTGACCATCCCCCCTGGGGGGTGATTTCTCACTTTCTGTCTCTATGTCTCTCTCTGTCTGTCTGGCGAGCGCACGCGCCCTACAGTGAAAATCTCTCTCCAACAAAAAAAAAAAAAAGAAAAGATAATATTTTGAAAGTTACAAGGTCCAGTATAAATACCGTGGCCTTGTGTTAAAAAGTGCTGGGTTCAAACGTGGACTGTCTCTGTGACGTTGAGAAGTCGCCAAATGACCCAGCCTGGCTGCTGCTCATCCATACGATGAGTAATGTGCCGTCCATACAGCTCAGTCACCGGGCAGCGACTGAGACCGAGTAACGGGCCGGAAGTCTGTTCGCCAGTGAATGAAGGCCCAGGTTCTGTCACCCGTAAGGGGCCCGACAGCCCAAGCCCTCCCAGGTCTTCCCATGTCTTCCCACACGTCTGACTTTACACAGCATCGCGTCCTTCCCCCCGAGGGGACTGACACTCGGACTCGGTGGCACCCACAGACCACATGGCGTGCTAGGGGGCAGGGGGAGAAGTGGCAGCTCTCGTCTCCGTCCCTGTCCCCTCCAGAACCATCCAGGCCCTCGAGGCTCTGCCACCACCCGGTGTGTCTGCACAGCTAATACGCAAACAAGCTTGCTGTGTTCTCAGAGATAAGGCTGGTGCAGAGTGCCTCACGGAAACTAACACGCAGCATCACTTCTGACCAGTGGCTATGTACTTGTGACACGTCTAAACCAGCACGGTCACTGTCCCCAAGGCTGTGATGAGTCTGCAGTCTCATGCCCTCTGCCTCTCTCCCCTGCAGCCTGCAGCGGGGTCTGGGACAACATCACGTGCTGGCGCCCTGCGGACGTGGGAGAGACCGTCACCGTGCCCTGCCCGAAAGTGTTCAGCAATTTTTACAGCAAACCAGGTACTGTCTCCTATGCCGGTCGCCGGGTCCTCCCCCACGTGGCGTCTGACAGTGTCTTGTTCCCATTGGCTCACAGGAGCCGAAGCGGCACATCTCCCCAGTACTTCCTGCTGCTGAGCGGCACGGGGAATGTCTTCGCCGTGTTGGGGACGCGTGTGGGTTAGCAGCAGGAAGACGGTGCCCCCTCTTACCAAACCTGGGGAGAAGAACTGATAGGGTTTGTTCAGGACTCAGAGACGCAGGCAAATGGGACCCAGAGGAGCAGAGGTGTGCGTGGGTGGGGACAGAGGCGGGGAGAGTGGAGAAGAGGTCCCATCGGCCTCATTGGCACTGCCGGCACGTGCAGGCTTCAGGTGGGGACCTTCAGGTTCCTGGAGCTGTGATGCTTGGAGGAGAACAGCCAGCAGGGACGTGGTTCTCATTCCTCACCAAAATCTGGTTTGTTGAGCTGACTGTTTCTCACCTCGCCACTTTTCTGACCTCGTCTGAGGTTGCCAGAGGTGTGCGGTTTCTGTGTGTCCGGACCGCAGGTCCCTCTGCCCGGGCTCGCTCCTCCATCGTGTGCACTGTCTCCTGGCCCGTTCCAAGAGAGGGTCTTGTTTTGTAAGTGACCCCAATCGTTACAACATAGAGAAATCTACCTGGAGAAGTAGAAACAGATAGGAAGATTGCGTGTCATGTACCAGGGTTGAATATCAGTAATAGTATGAGCCCCATAATTATTTCATTATAAGATAATCCGTCTTGAATCTGGGAACATTTGGGGTGCTGTGGAGAGCTGTGTTCATCTTGGGCATTTGTGAAGGGGTGAATATTTGAGAACTGGCAGTGTTGGAGAATTTCAGAGCTGGGGCATGGGTCAGGGTAGGGAGAAGCAGCTCGGAAAAGAGAGATGTCATTGCCCAGGATGACTCCCAGGACCCCCCTGACCGAGGTGGCACGATGTGGCAGCCTGAAGCTCTGGCAGTGCCATGGCCATCTGCGGGCAGGGCTCTAAATGACACTAGGAAGTCTGAACTTCCAGACGCCCCAACCCGTAGGGGAAGTTGGGGCCTTTGCTGCCACAGTAGGGTGACAGCCCTGGCTGAGAGCCAGCACAGGGGTGTGGCGTGTCCTCCTGGCCACCAGCACCCCGTGTGTCTGTGCAGGTAAGGCGGAGCCCAGGTCCGGTGCGGTAGATGGCCCCTCAGGCCCCACCCCTCCCTGGGAGGGACCCAGTGCGTGTCCTCGCCCACCCGCGGAGCCCTGGCCGTGTTGGGGACAGCTGTGAGGGCAGGAGCTGTGACTCTACCCACTCACCCTTTGGACTGCTCAGATGAGAATCGCAGAAACGCAGAGGGTGAGGGCTCTTTCTCCCTGCAAGCGAGGACAGCCCCGCTGTCCAGGGACATAGACTCAGGCCGACAGCCCGGGCCAGTCCCATGCCGCAGCCCTTGGCCCGCTCCGCCACTCTGCTGTGGCACTGTCGCCCTGCACCACTGACATCCCTCTGTGTGACTGGCTGGCGAGGGGCCCCCCGCCCACCTGGGCCGGCGGGCGGCCCCCCGGCCGACTTGGGCGGGGAGTGCTGTGTCAGCCCCCCTGAGCACAGCCGCGGGGCCGGGTGCCGAGAGCGGACGGGACAGCAGAGCCTCCATAGCCGGCACAGACCCCAGACCCTGGACCCCTGTCCTGAGAGCAGGCCCCCAGTGCACAGCGCCTCCGCCTCCCCACTGCCCGGTCCTGCAGGAAGCCAGGGTGGGTAGAGAAGCACATCCGGTGACTCCCTGACAGATGCAGAGTCCGTCTTCAGATTAGCAAACCCTAACTCTGGCAGGAGACGTGCCTGGCAGGGCGGTGAACGGCAGGCATCGCTCCACAATCGCCCCAGCCTCGCGGCCTGCAGGGGCCTGGCCAGATGGAGAGCCAGACGTCTGGGTGTGGGGCTCAGTCAGAGAGATGGGAGGTCGAAAGAAAGGCTAAGAGCAGTGGGCTTCCAGTTCCAGTCCGTTCCCCAACCGCACTTTCTGCAGAGGCAGCACTCCCGGCTGGAGCTGCTGAGTCCTGCCCCTGCACACGTGCAGGCCGTGTGTACTGCCTGGTAACAGCCCACCGGTTGCCACAGTCGGCCCTACCGTGCCCGGGCATGTTGGGCCAGTGGCAGCCTCTGTTGGCTGCAAGGTCACCAGGTCACAGCCCACTCACACAGTCATCCAGGTCACAGTCAGGACCTGCAGCGACCGCTTTCGGCCAAGGTGTCACTGAGTAGGAGGCTGCGAGGCCGACCCCATTTGCTTTGACGATTCCCGACTTTGGGTCAGCCTCTGAACCCTGACAGCGCGGTGCCCCGGACCAGGCCGCCCTTCTGTGGCCACCTGGGCGTCTGCCCAACCTCAGTGATGAGCTCTCAGCGTCAGTGCTCGGTTGGCAGCTCGTGTCTGTGCTTCTGTCTCCAGTCACAGCGACGCCGTTTGCTGCGAAGGACGTAAGGGTATTCAGAACGTTCGAGTAAATCCAATACCTGCTGCTGATAACTGGAATACACTTTTTTTTTTTTCAAAAGGTTTGAGCAGAGAGAGAGAGAAAGTGAAAAAGCATGCCTCCAGGTCCAGGACTCAAACCGTCGTCAGCCATGGGGGAGTCCAGCGCCTTCA